ATTGGACAGAGGACAGAGATGAGTAAATAGGTGATGCTTAGCGTCTCATTAATGCAGGGAAGGAAAGCAAAATAGACCAAATGTCCAGAAAACAGTAATTCTTTTATTTTTAGCTTCACTTGGATTATTTCTTCTGACCATGGTGGCAAAATCAGGCATGAGGATAGAGGAAGGAGAACACACACAGAGACTCAATGGTTTTACATGTCCTCTTTTCATTAGAAGCTAGGCTAAAAATAGGGAAGAACAAAGATGTGATTGTATGATCTATGTTGGAATATCTTTTATTCTTATATTTTTGGTTTTGTGTCAAATTCAGATGAAGGAATGTTAAATGCCTGTGTGTGTGTGTTGGCATCTGAGCTTGGCAAAGAAGGTGATTGGGCTTGATAGGGCTTTGTTCCAGCTGTTTCAAGAATTCCTCACTTTTCAGTAGTGAACAGAACAGGCCATTCTGATAAAGAATCCAAAGCATATGTATGAAAGTCATAGGCTCTTGGAGAAGCTTGGGCCAGATTGTCTGGTTCCTGAACGTTCTTCAGTTTACTAGCAGTTTGTCCTTGAAGAAGTTATTTAACCTCTCTGGGTCTCAACCTGCTCACCTGTAAAATGGAGATAATAAGAGGACTTTCCTCATAAGGTCTGATTAATATGTGTAAAGTGCTTAATATAGTGTAGGCAGATTATAAGCACACATCAAATATTAGCTCTTATTTTTATTACTTACAGACACCTAAATGGACATGTCAAGAAAATATGATTACTTCTTATTAATGTTTGAAAATTTTGAAACAGTCCAATCAACAAATGAATTACTCAGTTTTCAAACTATATTGTCTAACTTTATTTTGTTATTGGTTTCTTTAACTTTCTTCCTTTGAGGTGCAATATTTTTAAAGCTTTTATGGCTCTCTGTATGACTCAGGTCCACCAACCCAAGGCAAGGCACATTGATGAAGCACTCAGCGTGACCGAGGACTCTTCTGGGTACAAAGGATCCAAAATATAATTCAATAGTTGTCCACAAATGGCTAACTCTGGTGGTACAGATCATTATATAAACAAAGAAATGTAATTTTGTTTGTTAATTACTATTATAAGATATAATGAAGGTTTAAACTTGGGAAAATTAAGAATTCCTTATACAAGGTCATGGAAGACATATACATATTCCCCAAATTAGCAATGCTGAAACTCATTCTTCAAAATGAAAATAAATATAAAACAATTTTGCTCAATGACTAGAATATTTTTAAGAAAGTATGCTTTAACTCAAAGCCAACGTGAACACATAAGTGATTCTGGATACTATATTTGGGGATTTATCATAATGCCCAAAGCACTACAATATTACTAATTTATTTATTTCCTCTAGGCATCTTGTAATTTAAGAGAGTAAGATATAATTTTCCCCTTTCATTGGAGCATGTGAGTCACAAAGATAGTTACACACTGTGGGTGTCTCCAGTTTGAAAAAGAGCTAATGTAGGCCAGGCACGGTGGCCCAAGCCTGTAATACCATCACTTTGGGAGGCTGAGAAGGATGGATCACTTGAGGTCAGGAGTTCGAGACCAGCCTGTCCAACATGGTGAAAGTCCCCCTCTATTAAAAATACAAAAATTAGGCAGGTGTGGTGTGCACACCAGTAGTCCCAGCTACTTGGGAGGCTGAGGCAGGAGAGTCACTTGAACACAGGAGATGGAGGTTGCAGTGAGCCAAGATCGCACCACCACACTCCAGCCTGGGTGACAGAGTGAGACTCTGTCTCAAATTAAAAACAAAAAGGAGCATATGCAAACAGCATCCCAAATGAAGCACCAGAAAAACTGAACCCAATGCCTCAAAAGCTCAATGGTGATTGCACACCAGCTCAAATACCAAAACATAAAGTTTTCTCTTTTTTGACTCTTCAACTAGCCTTAAAATATAAGGCAGTTTTTTTTTTTTTTTAAAGTTTTTAAAAATTGGGGGTCGTATTTTATTTTTTTTTTTAATTGAATCATTAATGTTAGTTATCCACACATCTCAGGAAATTGAAAGACTAAGAAATACATTACCAAAACTGTTTTTGGATATTCCATTGCTCCCTGGGTACCTGATTATTCACATTACGCATTTTACTTATGTGAATCTGCTGTGGAAATTTTCAGCTAGAAGACTGAGATGCTAGACCGTAACTCCGCCAGATCGTTAGCCTCCTCTCTGCTATAGAATCAGTTTCGATTACATACAGAATATAGGAGAGTACAGAGTAGTAGAATGGAGTTTTAAAAGCATACCTGTAGTATAAAAGCATATGACCTGAATTCATATCCAGTGGTTTAGTATTCCTGTGTTCTGGTTTGCTCATTTATAACATGGGGATAATGAAAGTAATCACCTCACAGAATTGCTATGAGGATTAAACAAGTTAATGGTTGGTGCAAAAGTAATTGCGGTTTTTGCCATTAAAAATTTTACCATTACTTTTAATGGCAAAAGCCGCAATTACTTTTGCACCAACCTATACAAATCGTATAGGTTGTATACATGCTCAGAACATGCCCTGTCCTTAGTAAGCACCTTATAAAAGATTTTTATTGTTATTTATAGAGATCCATGGGAACAATGCTCCTTCAGAGGTCATCTGAATCTAGTCTAAGATTAAGGATATCTGCATTTCTACCAGCTCCCCTACCCACCCTGGTATATTTCTCTAGCTCATAGTGAAATCCCTTGGCTTCTCTCAGACTAAAACAACAATGTACCTGGAATTTCCAAGCTCTGGAATCCAGTCCCAAGCTCTGAAGACCAAGTTGATATTAACATATCCCCTTGTGGGCACTGGCTATGCTGTCCCTAAATTCCTTGTGGAAGTTTTGGTCTCAACCAAGATTAAACACTGTGGAAGCTGAAGTAATGTACTTTCATCTGAAACAGACAGGTGTCTTATTCACGTTATAGTTTGTTTTGCAGTTGAAAAAATAAGCTTTTTTTCTATGCTTACCAGTTCACAAGCATCAAGTGCAAACTTGCATGCACTAAGTGATAAAAATATAGCAAGAATGCTGAAGGCAACTTTCTAACTTTATGAGCAGTATTTGTAGATTTTATTTAACACATATGTTATAAATACAATCTTGGAATCCTCTTTGTGTTTTCATTTGTCTCCTAACAGTCAATGTGAAATGAAGGTCCGTTAATCTTAAAATATCCTTGATTAGAGCATTTTTTTTTCTGGATTTTTACCTGTTATTACTGATTACAGCTAATAAAAAAGGGATAATAGGAAAGGAAAAATGAATAGAAAAACGAAGGGAAATTCAAGTGCTTTAAAAATACATCTTAATTTGTAATATCTCTAAGTGTAGAAGACATTGATATAATTCACTATGCTTTGTTCTCAGTGCAAATTCATATTCACACATAGTTTGACACCCTGTACCTCATTTTTGGGACCCCCTGTTGGTTTCATGTGCACAAGAGGCAAATACCTTTACATCTGGTGGGGAAATAATTTATCTCAAGTTATTTTCAATCTTTTATGCTAGTGTTTTTTTTTTAAACTGGATTTGATGAACGAGTGGCACCAGCAACACCTGGGATGCTAATGAATACATAGTGGACTGATGGCTTACCTCTAGACTTCTCAGTAGAATTGCACAAAGGCAAGGCCCAGAAGCAAACAAAAACAAAAACAGACAATAAAAAACAACAAACTAAGCAAAAAGAAAAGGGGAGTCACAGTCTTGTCTGCTTTCACAGCTCCTTCCCCATAGATGGTACTGGAGGGCAGTGCAGGGTCTTACTTCATAACCTGTTATGGTGGTTGTTGCTTAGAAGCATAGAAGCAAAGAATTAACCTTCTCATAATCCTCACCTCTTTGCCTCATAATCATCAGATCATTCCATTCTTTCTTCATGTTTTATGTTATTTTAACTTTTTTTCCGTTTATTTCTGAGCTCCACTTCCATTCTCCTGCCTCCACATGCCCTCATTGCAATATGTTGCAGAGATGCCCATGCTGTTCTGTTTCTGTCTTTTTTTCACTCGACGCTGTTTAGAGTTTCTAACAGCTGCACAGGACGGCACGACTTTTGCCACCTGTGATGTGTCTCCACCCCTTGATGTGAACACTTGAGTTGTCTTGAGTCCCACCATCATAAACACGGAGCTCAAGCACTTCACTCGGATTCACCATTTGACTGCTTCGCTTTGATTAGGCTTCATGATTACTTTTACCATTTAATTTGTTATTAAATGTAGAGTTTAAAAATTTGTTTTCATTGATTGTGTTTTAAGCTGCCTGAATAACATGTATTAGGAGGAATTGCAAACTCGGAGGAAAATACCTTTTTGTTTTCATTTTTTCGAGATAGATAGGAACTTGCTCTGTCTCCCAGGCTGGAGTGCCGTGGCATGATTATGGCTTACTGTAGCCTCAGCCTTTTGGGTTCAAGCAATCCTTTCACCTCAGACTCCCTAGTAGCTGGGAGTACAGGCACACACTACCATGCCAAGCTAATTTGTTTTTTAAAATATTTGTAGAAAAACAGGATCTCTCTATGTTGTTCAGGCTGGTCTTGAACTCCTGGACTCAAGCAATCCTCCCACTTCAGCCTTCCAAAGTGCTAGGACAATAGGCCTTGGCCACCATGCCCTGCCAGACAATGTCTTTGCATTACAGATTGAGTTACATCTGTGTTTCCTTAACTATTTCAAGCCACACTTTATAGCTTCTTTAAAATATCAGTCATGGGTATATCCTTATCCAAAGTTGTTATCTTTTGCTCGCATTTGTCATACAATTTTGTGATCTTTCTTTCTGGGGTGGGGTGGATAGTTTTTGTTAATTAACCTAAGTTCCTAAGAAACTACAGCAAGAAGTCACAAATCCATCCTCACTAGTACAAAAACGTCTGTCCAGTGTGGGCATCATTTCTCAATGAAATGTGAACTCTTAATACAAAGATCACAATGTAAGATTGTTTTCTCTTGTTATTTGCTTACCGGGTCTCAGAACCTAAGTTAGAAAATTTTTATGTAGCCAAACCATGACTTTAAACTCTATTTACATTGATGGCAGTTAACTGGGCTGCACGCCGCACCCATGTGTGCAGCAAGCAGGACATGCAGGCAGCCTTGCTCACGGGGCTTCAGAGCAAGCGCACGGTCTTCCCGGTCACCGTCAGGAAGTCATCATCTGCCAGGGCACGCAGTGCTTCTTCAAACATATCTTTGGTAATTGTTATGTCAGATTGCCCCCGAATGTCTTCAAAAAGTTGCTGGTATTTTAGAGCTGGTATTTTGCCCTTAGATAAAATAAGCTTTTTCAATGCTTCAGCTAATTCTTCTTTCCGTTTACGAGAGGTGGCACTCATCCCTGTAGTAAGAATAGATATGTCCACGATGCCAGTCCGGGGGTCAGTTGCAGACTGCTTCAGAGCTTCCCGATGGAGGCGTTTGGCCTCTTCCACATCGATGGCTTCAACTTTGTTAGAAAATCTTACTTTAGCATGGGCTTCTGCTAAGCGGATTAATGATTCTAGCTGCCGAGGGTACGCGGAAACCATTCCACGGCTACCTTTGAATCGCTTGTCTGACTGAACAGATGTTTAAGAACATTTTTCTAAGCAAAGATTTTTTAATATAAGTAGCGAAGCATTCAATCTAGGGAAGAATGCAGCCAGCTTGTCAATAATGATGAAATACTTTGTTGCCTGTTTTTCATTCTCTCTCCCTCAGCAACTGCTGACTGTGCACTTCCAGGCCATAGGCCTACTGGGAGTGACATTCACTCCTTCCAAGATAATCCTCATGATAGGATGCACTTAATTTATGCTGTTGATGAAACTGAACTGAACTGATTTGCATATCATCAATACACGTAAGTTCTGAGTAGAGGTCCAACCATCCAAATTATTATATCCCATGTCATGGACTTGCTGTATCTAGCAAATTCTGGAATAATGCTGATTGCAGGTGGTTGTTGAATATTGACGCTATTCCGGATTTATAAGGCTGTATTGGAAGGCACATGAAACTAAAATCTTCTTTGGAACAATGTCCCTGTTTAAAACTACTCTCATTGAAACCCAGCTGGGTATTCAGCAATGCCAGCCATTGAATAAGATCTTTCAAGTGCCTCAGCCTGCTTCACCTGTCAGACTGGCTCCGTGGTTTATAAATGAAACTCTATTTGTTTCCAATGCTCCTGATCCTCCAGCTCTTCTCTAACCATGTCGCATATGCTTGCTTTTCCTTATTTGAGTGTCTTAACTCTCCTAATGCGTATCATCAGTTTTCATTTAATTCTTTTTTTAAGTGATGTACAAAGAGTACTGAATCAGTCTTGGCGTTTCTGTGCTGTTTTATCATCTTCACAACCCCCATTTGTTTTTTCGTTTTTTGTGTTCTTCTTCAGCTTTTTTTTTCTGTTGCAAAATAAGTTTCTTTTTCATCATACTTGGCTTTTAACTCATGAATGTCAATTCTTCAGGGTTTCCTTTTGTGCATTTCTTAACACAGTCCTCACATCCCCTTTTCTCATCAGTCAGTCAATCAATCAATCACACATTTTGTTAAACAGCTCCAAATTAAAATAAGAAATCATAAGCAAATTAGAAGCATCCCCTTGCCACTAGAAAAATCTGTTTTTGAGGCATCGCCTGCTTTTTTTTTAATATGTCATCTATATGCTTATAAGCATTACAGTAGAAAGTATGTATAACCTGGACATTTGAATTGCGCTTTTTTTTTTTTTTAGTTTCACTGTATTAAAAATAAATAAAAGCCATGCTGCAGCACTATGTACAGTGATCTTAGTGGCAACATATTTTCCTCCTCACCAGTGACTACTTCTCCCATTTTTTAGGTCAGTGTCCACAACACAGATTAACATTATTTATTGTACACCAATGTAAAAGGAGTCTACCAGATATTAGAGAAAGATGTGTAAAACACATAGAGTTTGGCCCTAGCTAACATAAAACCAAGGACATATATAGATGAATTTTATTTAAATGATTCCTTAACTATTTTCCTTACTATGTTCCCCATTACTCTGGGGTAAAATGGAGGAGAAAGAGTTGAAAAGGGGAAGGCAAAACAAAGACAATGGGAAAGAGAAAAAAAAGCAAAACACAGAGTGTGGTAGTTGAAGAAAAAAGTTAGTGGTCCTGGGGGTGTGGAAATTTCTCTCCCAGACAGATCCACTGGCCCAGATTCTTACAATAGCTATTTTTAGATTCCATTTGAAATAAAAAAGTAGATAGACCATGCCTAGAAAAAAATTGAGTTCCATTTTACAGATATTAAATAAAACACTTACTTCTTCAATTACATGTTTGCTATTAGTAGCAAAAGGGAAAAAAGCCACAAAACTATGGAAAATGATACTAGTAAAAATATAACATAACATGACCTCTTTCTCACCAACTGAATGATACTGTTGAGAAGGAGTATACATATATAGGCATTGCTTATGTATAATATTTCCTTTTGATTTGAAAGCCAGTATATCTTTTACCTAAAATCCTTTGCAGCTAAGAAATCTGATGATAGAATGAGCCATGAAGTTTTAGTAGAAATAGAAACAGTACGCCCACTCTTCATCTAAGTTCCTGTTTCTTTTCACACTAGGGATTTGATATTCATCATCTTTATTCTTTAGTTCCAATCAATAGGAGAATTTGGAACTTTCATGTGCATGTAGACATATTATTGAATACATTCTAAATATTCAAAGTATATTGTAGTTCTGTTTTATTAAAGTATCTGTAGATAAATACCCACAAAAATAATTAGTTATCTCTTCTCATCTCTATGGTAACCTTAATACAGAGGACTAGAGGCAGAGAAGAGACTAAGCAATTATATACATAATTCCTGGTGACCATCACCCTAGGGCACACTGTCACCTAAATGGCCAAGAGAATAAGTCTGGATTTTATACATTTTTGAAATGTGGATTTCAGTTATTCACAAAATAAATATATGCATTTTCAGAAATCATTCCACTTATGATATTGTATTTATTAAACCATCACAGTAGATATTTTATTATTTGAATTGGAAATATTAGACAATGAAAATAAATGCTGTAGGATCTTGCAGAATTTAAGCTTTTTCAGAATAATCTGGTATTGTTAATGTTAAAGATTACCGAATTTAAATGGACTGGAACTAGCTGACCTCTTAAGTACTGCTGGCTCTCCAATTCAGTGAAGTTGCTGAAGACTGAAGCAGCAACAGAGGTTTAAAATATTGAGATATATTAATCTTCAATGCTTAGAAAGCAGTTAACAAAATAAACTTTTTTGGTAGTTTTCAAAAACAAATTAGGAATTTAGACCTACTGTCATGAAATATAGCATTTGATTTGATTCCAGTCTTTCATGAAATTGTAATGGCCCCACTTGTGGAGAATTTGATTAAATAAAGGTTCATTTCTTGCTTTCAGGAAGATCAGCCAAAAAATTTATGACTCCATAAGATGCTTCTACTTGACTTGTTGGCTGCTAAATGAAGATTTTATTTATTAAAAAATCCTCCACACGAATTATCTTAATTTTCCTTCATGATTTGCCCATTTCTCTTGCAAATATTGTTTGCCTATAGGCTGGCTGTATCTCCAATAAATACAGTTTATATTAACATTTAGGTTATGAGAAAGATAAAAAGTTACTAGTTATAACTAAGGATTCAGAAGTAGATAAGAAAAACTGCTAGAAGAATTTTTGTAGAAATAAAAAAAATAAGTAAATACTTTTTAAAACTTGAAGTAAAGGGAGAGAGGTTACTCAAACTTGCTATAAATGTGCCAGAGATGAAAAGTCTAGAATTTGTATTTTAAAATAGTTAACCAAGACCCAAAATAAATGAAATACTTACACTACATGTTTTGTCTCATGATTTCTGAAACTTTGAGCTCTAAGACTTTTGGGAAGGTAATGATTTTTTATATGAGCTTTAATGTTTTAATTTCAGTCATTCATGCATGCATGAATGAATATTTATTGAACATTTATTGCGTACCAGTTATATATCAGACCTAGGTCTAGGTACTTGGGATATAATCATGAACAAACAGGCAGAGTCTTGCCTTCATGAAGCTAACAAGTAAAAAATGAGGAAAGACAGTAAAGGGTAAACATAACAAATAAATAAATTATATAGCACGTTAGAAGACGATAGATATTATGCAAAATGGAGTAAGGGGGATTGGGAGTAGAAAGCACAGATTGCAATATTGAATCAGATGGTCAGGTGAAGCCTCCTTGAGAAGGCAACTACTGAGGGAAGACTTCATAGAAAGAATAGAATTGTCTCAAAGAAAAAAGTGTCCACACACCAAAATTTAACTATTAAAAATGTGTTAACTTATACAAGACATGGATTACATAATATTATGTGATGTTTTCTCATGTAACACTTAAGATTTATCATGATGTTTGATGATTTCTGACTTGATAGAACAAAATAAGGATAGTGATTGTGTAAAGACATGTACTTTACTATTATCTGTACTTCCAGGATAGGAAGTAATTTCAACAAGATGTTTCGAAGCAAACATAGTAAGCCTAAATTGTCAAACAGCAAAGTTCTTTAAAAACACCTGAACATATATTGCACTCATATGACTCTATATCCTCTGCCAAGATTAGACGAGATAGGTAGTAATTAAAATTATGATGTTTTCCTCACCTCCAGGAATGCTTGTGTTTACACAAGATATTATTTAAGTATGAACTGATGGAATCTGAAATAATTCTGAAAGTAAAAATCTACATTTTTATCTTATCTCTTTTATGCACAGCCTACTTACATAACAAGTAGTCTGTCTAAACTCCCAATCCTAGAAAAATAGAAAATTCTTAATTCTGTGTTTAATTTTTCTCTTCCTTTTCTTCTGTCTTGTAAGTGTAAATGGAAAATTCTTAGTTCTATGTTTATCTCGTCCTCTTCTGATACCTTCTAAGTGTTAGGATGAATTACAAACTAATTAGCTGAGAAGTCCAGGGATTGAATTTCTGCTCTGCCACTTACCAGCTGTGTTCCCCTGGGCACTTTACTAAACCTAATTAGGCCTATTTCCTCAACTGTAAAATAGAGGCACATGACTCTCAGAATTGTTGAATAAAATAATGTACTCAAAAAGATTGGCACTTTATAGGTCTTAATCATTTTATCAGAATCATGTCATATGCTTTTCAAGTTGGTAAATATTAGAATAAATAACTGAATGTAAGTTTCTGAAAAATGTACCAAGCCCATATATAATAATAGGCATTATAGTATCATGGTGGTTTTGTTTTTGTTTTGTATGTTGGTGATTCTGAGAAAGGAAAGAGCCTTACGACATTATGTGCTTGCGGGAATTTTGGAAGCCATAATGAAAGAGGCAGAACTTTAAATGAACCAAAAAGGAAGTGTAAGATTTGGGTTGGAAGAGAAGAAATCAATGATTCCTGAAATAAACTAACGATTATGGTAGGCCTTAATGGGTAAGAAATTTTTGTGAACAGAGCGATACGGGAAGCATCTTAGCTGTTCATTCTTTTGTCATAATAGCATAGT